TAACAAAATTCTAATAAAACTTCACTATAAAACTTATCAACTTTCCATACAATATTTTTCCTAATCACTTTTTCAGTAGAAACTTTTCTAATAAAATTGACTCTCTGACCAACTAAATCCAAAGAGTGTTGGAACATAAAACAAACAAAAAAAAAAATTGAACTTTGTATAGAATTGTTATATATTTTATTACTCCTATTTTATTTAATTATTATCTCACTTTCCACTTGCACAATTACAAATAAATTGTGTTGAATACCTAAAAACAATTATTAATACTTAAAAATCTTTTACCAATAGTTTGTATTATTCTCTGGTGGGTTAGAGGAATAAAAGTGAATTTAGAATAAGAGTAGAAAGTGGAGAGCTAAACCCAAATAAAAACGGAGTGTATTTTATTGTAGTAAATCCAAGTTCGTTCCACGTTTCTAGGTTGTTGTAAAAGAGTTGGGTTACTTTGTGTTAGTCTGTATTGTGGGCTTTGGTCGGACAATTAGCTCGGAAAATGTGCAGGGAATGGGAAGGAGCCAGGAGCTAAAGCTTTCATGGAGTCTTGAACTAGAAGCAAAGTTTCACTTTTCTCCTTTTTCTTTCCCATACTCTATAGTTCCTTTTCCTCCCAAGCCCCCTTTTGATGAATATAGTTTACTTGAAAATGGTGTAAAAGCTAGCTAGCTTTTCAATTACAAAGTCTAATATCTTTCTCATTTCTAGCATGTTGTTCATATTAGAGGGTTAGGAGTGATAGTTGCTCATAATTTTGATTAATAGTCAACAATATTTGGTTCAATGATCAAAAGATAGATTGAGTTTTTAAAAAAGTCTCAAATTTAAAATTTTATCAATAACGTGACAATAAAACAATGATTATAAAATAGAATGAGTAAAATAGAGAGGCAATTATAAGAGGTTAGAAAAGCTTTATCCCTTACTTCCCTTTGGAAATAGAGGAAGTTTTACTTTCAACAAAATGGCAGGCAGTTCAAGGAAGGTGAGGTAGTAATGAGATTGAGGCAGTTGGAAAGGTTAAATTACTTTACTTCATATGGACAATATGAAAAACAAAGAATTTTTTAGTCTCTATATTTGCAACCAATGGGCGTAGAACTTTGAAATTAAACTGTAGTGGAAACTGGAAAATGCTTAGTCTTTCTTACTCTTCTCTTTGTGTGAGGTGATGATTGAGTTAAGAGGGTGAAATTGATGTCCACTTGAGTATGTTGGAGATAACATCTTCATCATGCTTTAATGTGACAAACATTCCAATCTTTTCTGGGGACAAAAGGCAAAAGCCCTACAAACAAAAGGTTATAATAATAAATAAAACTCAGCCCACCCCCACCCTATAGTCAACTTGGATGAAAGTTAAAAGTTGAAACCCTCAACTCAACCACCTACCCTTTTGTCTTTGTCATGGTTCCTTATCATCTCAATTCTCAACTAACTTCCACACAAACTTTTACAAATGGAAGATGAATTGAAGAAAAAGATGGTGATAAAGTCCATTTAGAGTGGTTTTAGAACACTTGAAAACACATTCCATTATAATCATTCCAACTGCAATGATTATGAAGGAAACAAAAGGTTCTTTAGGGTGTAATATAATACGGTCTAGATGGATTTTATCTTCATTTAGCCTCACTCAAAAAATATATAAAAAATGGGGAGGCAGCAAATGATTTTTTTCCCTTTTTTTTTTTTTTCTCAAATACATTCACTACCAAGTGTACATACTAATTAATCAACAAACAAAACGAAAAATTATTGTATAATTTAAATTATATTAAATTATACAACAAAAATTATTAGATGAGGTATAAGTTTTTTGATATTAAAGATCATTTTTCATTTAACTATTTCTATTTTACAATACAGTATAATCTTAATAGTAAAACACATACTCTAAACATAAAGGGCGATGTTATAGAGACAATATTTTTGTCCCATATTTTGATACAACTTTTACATATTATTAAATGAGTTGATGCATTCAATATCACAGATTTTATATGAGTTAAAAGAATCAATAATTTAAATGACACGTTAAGTTATATCAAAAGGTGATATAAAAAAATTGTCTAAAAATCATTTCCCAAACAAAACTATTGGAGTTGAATAAAGTGGTTTTGTTTGGGACCCACTTTCACAAACAAAAACAAAAATAGGAAGATTAGATGTTAGATAAAAGTATTACTCTAAGAAATCAACCTTTAGGATTCTGGAGTGTCTTTCTCTTCTTTCTTCATGCGCACCTTTTCACCAAAAAGAAATGCTTTTTTTCTCTGTTGAGGGTGCAGTATTAAATTGAAGGGCACATGCCTACACAGGTTTGAAATATCCATTTCCACCTTTTTGGGTGTGACAATATTTTAGCTGCAACGCCTGCGGGGCGTACCTGAGTGCCATGGAAGGGGCCGCAATTGGCGTTGCACAGACATAGGGGAATTAAAAAGGGCCATGCCTATACCCCTTGTGAAAATCCTATCTCTCAATTCCCGTTGTGCAACGTTACATTAGAGAAATGACAAGACTGAAAGTGTCTGAATTATTCTTCCTCACCTAATTAAGCTGTTGTGGCTGTACCAGTGCGTCTCTTGTACACCACAGATTCTAAATTTCGAATTAGCAACTTAGCAACTATTATATTCTCTTTTTTTTTTTTTCTCCTTTTTCTGGAAAATTGGTAAGTGTTATTAGTACCAATCTCAATTGGGCATTTACAATGCCGTCGATGCTACAATACAACATCAATTTACGTTGTTCATTACACAGCTTTATATAGGTTAAATTTTCATTTTGGTCTCTCTACTTTGATAAAAAAAAAATCTCTTTTTTGTCCTTCAACTTAAAAAAGCTCATTTTGAATCCTAAAGTTTGAAATCCGATTCTTTAAATTTGAAATCTAACCTCTTTTTAGTCCACCCATTAAGTTTGGCATATGTGACATGTTAGATAATAAAAATTTCAAAATAAAAAAAATAAAAAAGGGTTAAAAATGACCTTAATTTGATCCTTCTACTATAGAAAAAAGCTCATTTTTGGTTCCTTTCCTTTGAAATTTCCATTATCTAACGTTAAAACTTAACGGAGGTATTAAAAAGGGGTCGGAGTTCAAATTTTAAGAATCGAAAAGGGATTTTTTAAGTAGAAGGACTAAAATGGTTTTTTTTCAAAATAAAGGGACCAAATTAAAATTTTAACCCTTTATATAATATTAAATAAATAAATATATACATAATACAATATCAGATATAAACTTTAAATAAAAAAAAATCAATTATATATGTGATTAGTTCGTGATGTCATGCACAAAGTGTTCTGGTAAACGTGTAAGCCAAATTCATAGTATGCGCAAAGTGTTTTGCTAAATATAGCTTGTACGTGATATCGTGCACTAAATGTTTTGGTAAATGTAAGCCAAATTCACAGTGTGCACAAAGAGTTTTGCTAAATATAAACCAAATTCAACAAAAACGTACACTACGACGCCTGAGAGATTCGAACCCCTAGCGGGGAAACCCTATGTACTTGGCAGAAACACGCCTTCACCACTCTGCCAAAGCGTTAGATTCTGTCCCTGCTGTTTTGCTATTGCTTCTTTGTTTTTGAGTTTTTCCTTCGTGTTTCGTTGATCTGTTAGGTCTTAAATTTTGAAAGCTGTCTTCTAACCCAAGTCCCTTTCAATTCCTCAACAAGAGGATAAGACATCGTTACGGAACCGAAATAAGGCAAAGAAGTTTCTGTTTTATGTTATTTGGATGGCAAAGAATTTCAAGTTAGAGCAATCTAAGAGAGGAGTAGATCTTCAATATAACAGCTATATCAAGTCAATATATAAAAATCAATCATAATTTGATAAATAATTAAAAGTGATATGGATATAAATTCACACATATCTAAATGAATGAAAAAAAGACTTGCTTTATTATTAATTGGTGTAAGCATCAAATAACATTGTAATCTTCTTCCCAAGGAGAGTATAGGCAGCAAGTGTATCATTGCTGTAATCATCAATGGATTGAAAGGAAGAGACCGCTCGTTTTCATTTAAGATGGTAGCAATTTGGCTTAAGATATCTCAATAATTGAATTTATTAGTAAATAAAAATTGTTCTATAGATTAAATTTAAAGTTTAAACTTTTAAGCTTATACATAAAAAATTAAATTTTTTTAGATGCATCAAATTTATACTTTTAAAACTATTTGATAAGATATTAATTTTGAAATAAAAATAAAAATAATAATAATAATTTGTATTGGGATCTAATCTGTGGCAACCGTGTGTCAACAAACAAAACAAGATATAGTAAAAGATAGGATTTTCTTAACAAAATTTAAAAGCACATTACAAACTCTTTTTTTTCTTGAGAAATTGGACATTGGAAATTTTACATGGTTACCAAGTAAAATCTACATCGAGTGCACGCTGAAATTATAGGCATGGCCACCAACCCTTTTTTTTTTAAGATCATCTATTTTTTTCAAGACCACTAATTTTATTTATAATTTTATTAATTTATAATTTTTTTAATAATTAATTATAATATTTAAAAATATATCTTTATAAATTTATTTTAATTTATTAAATAATAAAATTAACTATTTTAAAATTATTAATTATTTTTTACCGTCAAACTAAAATAAAAATTTAGTAACTTTAGTGGTCCTAAAGGTAGCCATAACCATGGCCACAATTCTTCTGTGTCTATATGCAGTTCCATCCACTTGTCTCAGAAACCTTTTTTCGTACAAAATTGAATAACATATATGGTACCAACTTGTTGATACATTTAATACCCAGTGCCCACTAGCAACTACTAAACACTAATTCGTGCGAGGGAGCAATAACACTGTGTCCCCCTACAACTATCAAGCTATCAGGCATGCGGGCAATAAACTTAAGGAGCTCGAAGAAACATAGAGAATATCAAACAAACCATTTTCCATATGTTTATCATTTAGCAGATTTCCGAGCAGTAGAGTTGTCCTGATCAATTTCTTTGCGGGATGCTTCCCAAAGTCGATGCTCGATCCCCAGTTTCCTTAGCTCCATTAATCCTTCCTCAACTAAACAACAATTGAGCAAAATAAGCAATTACTCTAGAGACTACCATTACTTGCTGAGAAAAAACATGTCTACACAACCACCTCCAACTATAGGAGCAAGCGTGAGGTACTGGGAAATATAATTCCAACAAAAGAAGTTGAGAAAAAACATCAAAACTGAAGTCATTCTTTTGCAATGATTTCGGGGAACACAATTAATACAATACAAAATTAAAATTACCATCCACAGCATCGTGTGAACTTGGTGAATGTGCACTGCAGCTGATCCAAAACTGAAGTCGTTCTTTTGCAATGTCCCCCTCTATACCGTGGACTTTGGCTCTTCTCCAGAAGTATGTAAGCCATGCCTGTGCAAGTTCAATATGCGCAAGCTTAACAGGAAGGGAAAGAAATTCACCAGCTTTTGCATATTAATTGTCAATGATATTCAAAGTATGTTAAAATATGAATAAGACTAATAAACAGTAAAAGGAAAAAGATAGAGCAGACCTCCTTGAAAAGAACATCCTCAGATTCCTCTGGACTCAATTCTGCAAGAAAAGATAATTCAGTTGTTGAACGCAAGAAATCAAAAAGACAATTTTGCCACACTAATCATCTTTGTTCTACTAAAGGTTTCCTCCATTTCATTGCATAATGACTCCAAAGCATGCTAAAAGAAACAGTGTATGACTCACCAAATGCCTCCACAAACTTCACATCACGTGGGGATTTGATATCTGAAAAACACAAAATAAAGGAAGCAGGTACTCAGTGCAGATTATTCAAGACAATATCCTCATATTTAAAATAAAAACAGAAATGTATTCCATACAGAGAAAGAATGCTGAATCAAATGAGATCCCTAGACTGTTTCTTGATCATCAGGTAACTATAAGTTTCATCAAAAGCTAAAAAGCAAAGAAAACAGGGCACTATTGTTTCGCCATAGCCCATGGTATATAAGAGAAGGTGGAAAGCTGGGGTTGAAACCTTTGCGGAGTTCCTATATTTCAAGAGTAAGGCAATATTTTAATACCAGTGGTTTTTAAGGTTGCACAGCACAGAAGACCAGGAAAATACTCTTAACTCGAATAATTTTAGGGATTTCTTAAACTTTTTATATCAATGGAATCAACTATAGAACACGGAGAAGAAATCTAAAAATCTCAAGGTGGATTGTATGAATTACCCAAATTGTTACACAAGTCTTTGCTAAAAATATTTTAATATAAATTTAACTAAGATGGGTCTTTGGAATGGATTGCCATCTTATCTGAGAAGCCATCAGAAGAAAGCATACCTGATGTGGACAGTCGAGCATTATTTGCTCTTCTCTGTTGAGCCAATGCATGCACAATGGCATCCTCAACCTTGAAAAAAGCAACCATAAAAATTTTATGCTGGTAGACTTGTAAGATGAACAATAATCATGAAGATGGAGACCAAACTCCAAAATTAACCAGTTCATAACTGATGAGTTATGGACTATGTGGAGGAATAAAAAAAAAAAAAACCTTTAATGAAGCAAGCTCCTTCAGACCCATTTCAACCGAAAGCATACTCTCAATATTTCCTTCCCCAGTTAGATCACTTAAGTCTAGAACAAGATCACTCCTTTTCTCATTGTCATCATCACCTGCTTAACAAGGTAAACATCAATTTATTAATGTTGATGACTAGAGAAAGGTATGGACATATAGCAAGCCTAAATCAAATCTTCTTTTTTTTTTTTTTAAAGGATTATCTTTTGAGCTAAGAGAAAACCGGCTACCAATGGCAACAACTAATTAAAAAGTACTAGCCTTTTTCCCAACACTCCTCCTTGGCCTTTTGTCCAGCAGAAACAACAACTTCAAAGGGAAGAGGTGCTAAGGATGACCAGTATTCATATTTTGACACTGCAATATCTGCACATATACCTATAAAGCAGAAAATAAACTTGTAAAACAGCAGATATGATGGGTAAACAACATTGTTGGATGTTCAAAGCTATCAATATGAGTAAATTTATGGGAAAATTACATTTTAGCTACTTGTGGTTTAGAGTTAGCACACAAAAAGACTTGAGATTTTAAAATGTGCATATAACATACTCATGATTTAAGGTGGGTGCACATAAAGAGCAGAGATTTCAAGATGTCCAAATAAGGACTTGAAGTTTGTATTAGGTGTATCCGTGTATGTAACCACTTGAAGTTACATGAAATTTTCATAAATACCCTTATTTTTATTTTCTTTTCACTCTTTTAAATTAGGGGCCCTGAGAAATTTCGAGAAATTTCCAATGGTTATCTGCACCAAGTGCAAACCTCAGGTGTTTATGTGCACATTTTGATATCTCAGGTCTTTATTGCACGTACCCAAAACCACAAGTATGTTATATGCACATTTTAAACTCTCAAGTTTTTATCTGCAGTTACCTCAAACCACAAGTAACTAATTCACAATTTCCCCTAAATTTAATCAATCTTAATCTTCAAATGGTTTGACATGAAGCTGGATCAAACAGAATTGAAAGTAAAACCAGGATGCAGAAACTCATGCATGTCATGAAATCTTGTTGTAGGTGTAGAAAAGACGACAGCATAGACCAGTCCTTGCACGAGAAATAATTGAAAAAGTAGGAACAAGGAAGTTCAGAGTCTTCAAGCTTCTAAGATAATGCACTAAAGTTTTCATACTCCATATATGCCAAAGAATAATTATCTGATGTCCAAAAAAAATACATCTAAAAGGTAAGTAGACTGGTTCATCATCACAAAATAATTGGCACATTACAACTAATCATGAATAAGTCAAACCATAAAAGTTACAAACATGAAGCACATCATTTTAACAATGTGAACAAGAAACATGGTGGATCCAGATTATTACCATATTTTGCAGCTAAGCCCCAGTAGCGAGCAAGCCAACACCTCTTCAGAACAACTTCTTCCTGAGATATAAATATAAGAAATATTTGATTTCCCAATTACTTCAAAGATTCCATGACTCAGGCATCCACATTACTACATGGCATTTGGCACATACCATCTCTTTCTGAGTCAATACCATTCTTTGTGTCATTGAGCGAAGCGCCTTTACTTCAGACTCAGCTCCATGAAGCTGCCTTGCAGCACTCACAACTTCATCTCTAGCATTCTGATCAGGCAAAATAGATAAATTAAGCATGAGATAATGCTATAAAGTAGCAGCAAAAAAAAACCCCCCTGACAAGCAACATCTACCAAATGCCACATCCTTTTTTGAGAAATTCAAATTTTATGCCCTTCCAATATATCCTTTTAGCTTGTGGATGTTAAACGTACAGAAGTTTTGGTACGAATCATTGAAGGGTAAATTGGAAAACAAAATGTATCACATGGATTATATCAATACAATGGATACACATTAACACACTTACCTGAACATTAGAACGAAGAGATGCAATCTCTTTGTCTACCCCATTCTTGCTTTGTTTTCCATCCTTAAGTGCAGCCTGTTAGAAAAAATAAAATGGATAGAGAGGGAGAATAATCCTTAGTTTTTCTTATTCATAAGAAAGGAAAAGAAAGCATATATCGTGTCACTATTTCAAAAATATTGTTAAATTTAGATGCCTAGAATCAGTTATTTACTCATTGCAAACAGTGAAAAGTCCAAATTCTTCATTACCTCTCTTTGACGCAATGCAGCCTCCTTTCTGCAAATGGGAAGACGTGATCTTTCAGAAATCAAAATGAAAATAATGGGGAAAGAAGGGCAGATATCATGGGCATTACAACTCTAACCGACCTGCTTAAGAGTTTAGCTTCTAGGGAGACACCTTCTCCAAGAGCAGCAACCTAAAAGCTCAAAAAGGAAGGAAAATAGAGATAATATCATAATAGATCAATTTTGTCCTCCTTTAAAAGCAGATATAAATAGATAAAAAGTTAACGATAAATGTAGATCTCTAAAAAGATTGAAACTAATGGGGAGAGAGAGGAGGATGGTAAGGAAACATGAATAAACAAACATTTAAACTAAAGCCCAAAATCCAAAAACTAGCATGAAAACCCAATAGAAGTGCAAGCATAAATAATACCATAAGGAAGACACCCTTAGAAACAGGGATGGATCCAATGAAGGACAACGGGGGGAGCTGGCACCCCTTAAACTTTTGAAAAATATTTAATATGGTACTCTTAACTTTTATTTGTTAAAAATGTTGTGTTATAGTATGAATTTCAAGGATTATTTCATATGTAGAGAGAATATTTATGACTTAAATAAAAAGTTTTCAAAAAATAAGGATATGATTTTAAATAATTAAATGAACTTTATGACAATTTAATTAATTAGGAATTGGGGTTCTTAAACATTTCCTTATCTATTAAGCTCCAAAAAAGAAAACTTTGATTCTTTATTTAATCAACTTTAAATTTATAGTCTTCTTTAGTATTTTTTTTTTTATTTTCTTTCTTAATATTTTATATAATAATTTAAAGTTTTTTTATGGCATTGAGGTAGATTTTCACCTTTTCTGACTGAATTTATAATTATTTTTTGTGTTAAATCAATTAAAATTAGAGTTCACTTTCTAAAAGAAATATTTTAGTATTTTTTAATATTCTAGTATTTTTTTTATAATATTAGTGTTTACCAACACGACCTCAAAAAAATTAGGAGCAAAATATCCCAAAATTACATTATTTCACTAAAATCAAAGCACTCTCACTCCTACTTCAAGAATATTTTGTTTTTATCTTTTTCAAAGTAATTTTATTAAAACAATGTAATTTTGTGGTGTTTTTTCTTCTACTTTTTTAAAGATTTTGTTAACAAACACATTTTTCTTTTTTAATTCATTCTTCAATAGATCGTTATATAATTATTACTATAATATTTTATATTTTATTATAATATATAAATTTATTTCTAATTTTTGTTAAGAATATATCAATAAAAAAAATCACAAGTAAATCTTTTTATAAGAAAAAGAAAATTAAAAAAAAAAAATAGTATCATAGAATACACTCTTGAAAACTAAAACCTTTAATCCTAATTTTTGCCCCCCCTAACTGAATTTTTTGTCTCTGTCCCTGCTCAGAAACAATGACTTTAGCTATAAGACACTGCCTCACAATATTCAGATAAACAAAGCACCATAACTGTTTCTCAAAATCTTTGTTACTGGCCAAAAAAAATACCTGTTTCTCAAGCTCTCTAACTCTAGCCTCTGCTTCCTTACATCTTTCTTCCTCAAGTCTAAGCTGTATGGTAGAGTAAAAAATTATTAGACTACACATAATCAAGCAATCCTCAACCATATTATGCTAGAAGGAAGAATTATATTGCACCTTCTCAAGGATATTTTCATTCTCCTCTTGTAGAATATCAAACTGCAGTATAGTACTTGTCAGTTTAATAGTAATTCTAAGGGTTGAAATTAAAATTTTGATACTAGTTCTTTCAATACATTAATTATTTCTATGTTGATGAGCATATAACTTGATAAGAAGAATTAGCATACCTCATCACGAAGTGCAGAGGCATCATGCTGACCTCCAGAATCCATTGAGTTAAAATTTATAGTATCAGGTGTGAATCTGCAGTTCACAGACATTTACATCTATCATTTGTTACATCAGTAAAACATATGAACTGTCAGAAACAGCCAAATAATGAGGAAAAATAGCACTTTTAAACCCAAACAATAGTAATTCATGCACAAAAAAAACAGTAATTTTATGATTGCATCTATTCTCTATGGGTACAAATTTTTAGTTAATGAGGCAAGCAAATGCCCAAATTGTTAGGTGCAACAAAATATCAAGCAGGCATACGTCGTCCAACTTAAATTACCTAATTAAGCTAGGCCTATTAGAAGTGAGAACTAATCTATCAGTAAAAAAATGAAACATACTAATTTACTACCTCTACTACCTTAAGCCAAGCTTTACTATACTTCTTTGAAGTTCCACTGGAGCAAGCTCAAAAACCACAAATTCAATTGAGTAGAGTTATCAAAAGACCATAAATAAATAATATACAAAAAGGATACTCTAAATTTATTCGATTATCCTGAAATTCTGCTGTAAAAGTATGAATATTATTTGTATTCATAAAATAACTAGATTTATTTTTCTTTATACCTTTTCTCTGTTGGACGACTTTTAGGAGGATCCAATGGTGGAATAGAAACAGCCGTCCTCAGAGATGTTTTACTGGGCGGAGGTATTGGTGGTGCTGCTGCGCGAAGAGACATTGCTGACCTTCCAGATGATGTTGAACGAACTGATGGAGTTTCCTCTACATTGTTTTGAGCTACCTACATTAAAAGGATCATAAATTCCAATAAGCCTTCAACATAGACTGCATTTCTCAAACAAAGATTATGTATTCGTTCCTTACTTTCACACATTCAATCCTAATTCCATGGAACTTCAGTAACACGCAAACAATCCAAGATTCTGCATTTATTTACTACTAATCTGAATCTAAACCGCCAAAATTTTGCATTAAAGATGAATCCAATCCAAACTTGACAGAACTTATACTCTCTTAATTAACTTAAATCATAGTTCGAAACATAGTGCAGCTAAATCTACATTTTCTTGCATCACTCTCAAACTCAATCTCACCGTGAAGAAAACATAATCAGAAAATCGAAAAAAAAAAAAGGAAATTACCGCAGGTGAGGGAGATCTACCGATCCTCGCAGAACTGAGAGCAGGTTTACTTCCATTGACGTTGCTATTTGCAGAACTAGTAGGCGAGGCATTAATGGTTCTAGAAAGAGACAGGGAAGGAGGAGCAGTGTAGCGGAACCCTAGATCGTCGCCTTCATCTTCCTCGTCATCGTCGGTGGTCTGAGAAGCCATGACCTGAGCCAGCCGCTGAGCCGCGGCTTTAGCGGCGACGTTTTGAGTACGCTTGATATTAGAAATGCCGGAGGCAGAGGACGACCGAACGTGGAGGTTACGCGCCGGAGACAATGCTGGTGAAAGAGCACCGCCGCCGATGGTGCTGGACTCGGTGGTCCATCGGCGCGTGGTGACCGGACTCTCAGTCCGCTTCAGGTCCATCAAAACTTGACCAGTAAAACGCAATCCTGTGTACGACGAAATTGAAGAGATAGAGCTGAGAAATGTGAAGTGGAATTGGCAGTGGCCTAGATCTCCTTGAGAGGGAATTTAAACAGTAAACAATTTTTAGTTAAGAGTATAAATAATGAGATTTGATTTATCTCGATTTTCTTTTATTTTCTTTTTGTCAACTTCTCAACTGATTTTCTTTTCTTTTCTTTTTTTGGTAAATTATTTTTCTTTTTTCTTTTGCCGAACAGAAATAGCATCCTTTCGAAGTTTCATGTATATGCTTTTCAGTAAAGGAAGGTATACCGTGCAAGAAAAAATTCCTGCAAAAATATCATCAGTAGCCATGAGGGTGTAATTTCTATTAAGTGAACAATAATATGTTATGAATTTGTCACATGATACATGAATTAAGTAAATTAAAAAATAAAAAAGACGAACGATTTAAGTAATTTATTGGTTATTTTTTTAAGTTAGAAGTAAAATATCTTGGGTTTGAGTCTTATGATATGTGAGTAAAATAGAATAAGAAATGAGAGATTATTGTCTCTTATTGTATAACCAAAATTAAAAATAACAAATAAATAAAAGAGTATTTTTAATGTTTAGAGTTTTTTTTAGAAGTGTTGTGTTGTATTTAGTAATAAAATTTTTTATAACAAAAATATATAAAATGATAATTATAATTATTAAAAATATATAAAATATTAATTAAAATTAATTCTTTATATTCTTTTCATTTTTTTAATAAATTTAGTTTTTTTCTCTAATAAAATAAAGATGTAATAATTTATTGATAAAATTTTATATTTATTTCTAATTAAGTATCATTTAAATAAAACTTCTTATTTAATATATGTTATAATTATCTTTTTGAAATAAGAGTGTTTATAGTTATTTTTGTAGATTAATTAGAAAGATCCACATGTCTTATTTATTCTGAATTTAAAGGAGTTAAAATGCCTTATCAACAACTATCATGTGGTGAACTCATTAACCGAATCAAGTTCAACAACTGATTTTTCTCTAGAATCAACATTAATGGTTGTTGCCATGTCCTTCATAAAGCAGCTCAACGGTTGTGTACTTTCAAAAGCATGATCGGTGGTACCAACAAGTTAGTTAATTTGCTGAAAATTTCATATTGTTGTTGGTTTCGAAGATATTGCAAGCCGAACTCCACTATACTCCCGAGGTGCTATAAATACCCAATAATGAAATTAAGCAAGCAAGATTTGCCCTTCACGTAACTAGCCTAGCGCTACTTTTATTTTAATATTCATTAATAATGTTTTAATTTAGATTTAACTTTCTCAAACAACTTTTTTAATTTAATTTTTAACTCTATACTACCACTAATTGTAACTCTAATTTTTGTTATTTTGTTATTTTGTTTTAAGCATATCTAGTGATGTATTTAATTTCCTACAATTCAATTGAGTGCCTTTTGCTCTAACTTCATCTTCTTAACTTCCTTTAAGTTTAGTTTTATGTTTCCTTGATTATATAGCCTTTATTTCATTCTTTATGCATGTATGCTTTCTTAGAGGCATTGCACTTTCTCTTGACAAATTAGTTTTTCTGCCATGTACTCTCTTTCTTTTCTTTTCCTCTATTTTTTTCTTTTATTTTAATTAGCAAACTAACATATTAGCCCTGATTGTGGGATGTCCTTGATGTTTTTTCAGAATAATTATTCATTGATCTTAATGTAGGAATGTACTCTTATTTCTGTGACAATTGTTTGATTCGAGCGCATCTCATAATTTATTTTTCTAGTGTTCTTTCATCAACTCGCAATAGAGTTCCACGCTTGGAAGTAATGAAAGTCACTAGTAATCTTTTTTTTCTTAATTTAAGCAAAGTAAGTGACATGTTTTTATAGTCATATGTATTATGCATTGGAAAGAGAGATATTAGAGATAATAGAGGGTAAAATAAAAATAAATGTATTAAATAATATCTTAAAAATAAAAAATAGATAACTAAATTTAAATATTTGTTGGGATTAGGCCCAACGCCCTCTTAGGGCCACATGCAG